GTGGCGGTGTGAGCCTGTCCCGCCCTGGAATGGGGGGGGGGGCCGTGAGGGAGACTGAGTTGTACCTTTGGGCAGCGGGTCCCAACCTTTTTATGCCACACACCAGCAAACACTTCCACAAAGCTTTGGCAGATCGTTAACATTTTATTTGCATGTTTTCATAGTCATTATGCATTTAGCATATTAGCATATTCATTAACAAAATATTACCACACCGTTATGGATCAGCAGTTGCAGATATCAACAGCAAGAATTCCACTCGTACCTTTGGGCAGCGGGTCCCAACCTTTTTATGCCACACACCAGCAAACACTTCCACAAAGCTTTGGCAGATCGTTAACATTTTATTTGCATGTTTTCATAGTCATTATGCATTTAGCATATTAGCATATTCATTAACAAAATATTACCACACCGTTATGGATCAGCAGTTGCAGATATCAACAGCAAGAATTCCACTCTGGCTGCTGGGTGGGGTCACCTCTGCTCTCCTCCTCCCCGCCATCCCGCCACTCTATGGGGTGGGAGAGCTGCCGTTGTATCTTCACCCCTCCTTCTGTACAACCCCTGCCCTTGTGTCTCCCTCCCTTCCCCAGCCAGGCTGCTCTTGCTCCCACATTCCCCCTTTCCCTCTCTGTGACCCCCTCTATGGCTCCCACCTGTCCCATAAATCTCTTCTGAATTCTCCCAACCTCCCTTCAGCGCCTCCTGCATCCCCCTGCTGTCATAAGAACATAAGAACGGCCGTACTGGGTCAGACCAAAGGAAGACAATGATCAAGCGATTTGTTTCCTGCCATCCCTCTCCAGCCTCTGACAAACAGAGGCCAAGGACACCATTTTATCCCCTGGCTAATAGCCTTTTATGGACCTAACCTCCATGAATTTATCCAGCTTCTCTTTAAACTCTATTATAGTCCTAGCCTTCACAGCCTCCTCTGGCAAGGAGTTCCACAGGTTGACTACACGCTGTGTGAAGAAGAACTTTCTTTTATTAGTTTTAAACCTGCTACCCATTAATTTCATTTGGTGTCCTCTAGTTCTTCTATTATGGGAACTAATAAATAACTTTTCTTTATCAGCCCTCTCCACACCACTCATGATTTTATAGACCTCTATCATATCCCCCCTCAGTCTCCTCTTTTCTAAACTGAAAAGTCCCAGTCTCTTTAGCCTCTCTTCATATGGGACCCGTTCCAAACCCCTAATCATTTTAGTTGCCCTTTTCTGAACCCTTTCCAAGGCCAAAATATCTTTTTTGAGGTGAGGAGACCACATCTGTACACAGTATTCAAGATATGGGCGTGCCATAGTTTTATACAGGGGCAGTAAGATATTCTGGGTCTTATTTTCTATCCCTTTTCTAATAATTCCTAGCATCCTATTTGCCTTTTTGACCGCCGCTGCACTCTGTGTGGAAGTTTTCAGAGAACTGTCCATGATAACTCCAAGATCTCTTTCCTGATTTGTTGTAGCCAAATTAGCCCCCATCATACTGTACGTATAGTTGGGGTTATTTTTCCCGATGTGCATTACTTTACACTTATCCACGTTAAATTTCATTTGCCATTTTGTTGCCCAATCACTCAGTTTGATGAGATCTTTTTCCTGGTTTGTCGTAGCCAAATTAGCCCCCATCATACTGTACGTATAGTTGGGGTTATTTTTCCCGATGTGCATTACTTTACACTTATCCACATTAAATTTCATTTGTCCCCCCTCATCCCCCTCTTCAGCCTCCTCCTGATCCCTCTGGGGTTGGCTCTCCCCACACATACTGCATACTGGATATGGGTCGCAGCTACCTCCTCTGGGAGCAGCCTGGGGCCAAGCCCTCCATCTACAGCCTGGGGGCTCTGGGTCCCCACTCCCACGGATAGGGGAAGGGTGTGTCTTCCCCCCACTGTGGGGCAGGGGCTGGCCAGACTGGGGCACTGCCAGCAGGACTGGCTGTGCTGGAGAGTCCCTCTGCAGCAGGAAGACCAGCAGCCCCCACCCGTCCCTCTCCCTGCCAGGGCTCAGATTTCCGGCCCAGAGCCTGGCCCCAAAATGCCCCAAGCAGCATCTGTGAGTCACCCCCTGCTGCATGGGCCAAGCCCAGCGATCGCGGCTGCCACTGGGTCCTAGCGCGGCAAGCGTGGCACGTGCCCCTGGGCTTGGGCAGTGTGCTGTGGCCTGGCAGCCAGCGGTTTGCAGCCTGACACTGGTCTGCAGCCCGATGGCTGGGAACCCCTGCGCTAGAGAGTGTAGCACAGAGCTCAGCTCCCCCGGGGAATACGCTGGGCCGTTCCCGAGGTGGGGGGGATGCACCTTTACTGCAGATGAGTGTGAGACGGGATCTTGTAGCAGCCAGAGCCCCGTCTCTGCAAGGGGGGGAGGAGCCTCTCTGGGTGGGCGACTCCGATCATGGCTCTGGAAGCAGTAATGGCACAGACCTTAATGAAGAAGATCAGCACTGGGTTCATTGCTCCCTGGGCAGGATTTCCAGTCTGCAAAGCTCTCGTGATCTCCGGGGTGGAGCGAGAGGAGGAGCTGCGGATCCCGGATCTCCAGGGCTCTGAGGAAGGGGGGATCGGCAGTGACACCCACACAGGTGAGCAATTGGCTAAACTGACTCAGAAACCAATTTCTGGGTCCTCAGAACAGGTGTCACTTGTGCATTTTCATCACATCTAACTGACACGTCAGCCTGTGATCCACTCCGGTTCTAAGGGTGGGGAGGGGGAGAAGGCTGCGCTCTCCCCTTTGGGAAATGATTGTGAGGAAGAAGGAGGAACTCAGCTCATGATTGTTCCTCCTTTCCAGCCATTCTTTGGGTGTGTTCCCCCTTTTCTGCCCCCCTGTCAGAATTTTCCCTTCAGCTCAGCACAGAGACTGACTCCTGTCTGGATTCTCTCTCTGTCCCAGCAGGTGATGGGACGCTGCGTGAGAACAATGAGGAGAGCCTTCAGCAGCAAGGACCGGAGCCCGTGGCTCCAAGGGCCATGCTACAGGGAAGATCTGAAGGGCATGTTTCCCAGAGTCCCGAGCGGGGAGAGACCTGGGAGCATCGGTGTGGCCCAGAACGGCTGCAGGGAAACCATCCAGAGCAGAGACAGAGTAAAACCAATCACAGGAGGAGAGGAGAGAAAAGAAACACAGAAACGGTTCAACAGAAAATCCCCCATCAACACTCACCCTGCGCTTATAGCGAGTGTGAACACGAACGAACCCACCCTGGAGAGAAGCCCTTCAAATGCTCTGACTGCGGGAAATGCTTCAGTCGGCGCTCAGACCTTAGGAACCATCAGATATCACACACAAGAGAGACACCCCATAACTGCCCTGACTGTGGGGAAAGATTCAGTTGGAGGTCGCACCTTGTTACCCACCGGAGAATCCACACAGGGGAGAAACCCTTTGACTGCTCTGACTGTGGGAAAAGCTACAATCGGCGCTCCAGTCTTAATCTTCATCAGAGAACTCACACTGGAGAGAAACCTTTCAACTGCTCCGACTGTGGGAACAGTTACAGTTGCAGCTCAGACCTTATTACCCATTGGAGACGGCACACGGGGGAGAAACCCTTCAGCTGCTCTGACTGTGGGAAAAACTTCAGTCAGCGCTCAAATCTTATTAGTCACCAGAGAACGCACACCGGCGAGAAACCCTACGTCTGTTCTGATTGTGGGAAAAGCTTCAGTCAGAGCTCACACCTTGTTACCCACAGGAGAAGCCACACGGGAGAGAAACCCTACATCTGCTCTGACTGCGGGAAAAGCTTCAGACAGAGTTCACACCTTGTTGCCCACAGGAGAAGCCACACGGGGGAGAAACCATTCAGCTGCTCTGACTGCGGGAGGAGCTTCAATCAGCATTCAATTCTCGTTAGACATAAGAGAGCCCACACTGGGGAGAAACCCTTCAGCTGCTCTGACTGTGGGAAAAGCTTCTATCAGCATCCCCATCTTGTTAGGCATCAGAGAACTCACACAGGGGAGAAACTCTACTATCTGAGTTCCCGTTAAGCTGTGTGTCCACATCACAGCCTAGTAAATGCCAAGCCAGAGCTTAGGGCTTTGGTGGGGAGAGATGCCTCTACCCTCCGGTCTCAACCCTGGCCCAGACCTTCCAGCTGGCTGGTAGACAGTTGGCTATCCCAGGGCCCCAACCCCAAGGTTGTCATGGCCAGGAGAGGTATCCCTCTGTCCCTTGCCCACCAGCGGCACCTGAGCGGAGGGAGAGACAGCTGATGGGAGTCTGCTTTCCCCAAAGCAGCTTTTCACTGGGCGAGACCTTAAACCCCTCCATCCTTGAGATCACACCCCCAGCAGGAGATCACACCCTCACCCCTCCACACTTAAACCTGTATCTCCGCCCCTCACCCCTGGCCCCACCCCAGAGCCAACCCTCACATCCCTGATCCCCAACTCTTTGCCCCAGCCCTGAGCCCCCGTCCCACAATCTACATGGACTTTATTCTGTGCACCAACGTCCTTAAACCCCTCCATCCTTGAGATCACACCCCCAGCAGGAGATCACACCCTCACCCCTCCACACTTAAACCTGTATCTCCGCCCCTCACCCCTGGCCCCACCCCAGAGCCAACCCTCACATCCCTGATCCCCAACTCTTTGCCCCAGCCCTGAGCCCCCGTCCCACAATCTACATGGACTTTATTCTGTGCACCAACGTCGATATGATGTGTTGCATTCCCCCCCCCCAAAATTCATTCTGCAGATGTATGGGGGAAAAATAGATGGAACGCCGGGTATAAGTGCTCTGAGTGTGAGAGACGCTTCTGTGAGAAGGCAAATCTCGTTAGAGATCAGAGGATCCACACAGCTTCTGCTGACGAAGGTTGTGAAAACCGATCTCTCCAACTCCAAACAGCTTCTCACCATCCCAAAGGATCTGCCACATGGCCGGGTCAATGTATGCCTTAAATCCTAGCGAAAGAGCACGCTGTGCCAGTCCTTCAGAATCTAAAAGGAAAAGATTTATTAAGAAAGAACGAAAACGCTGAGAGTGAGTTTGTTAAAGGAAACAAATTACGAACTCCAACTGCAGTGTTCCTGGTGCAGGCGTGTAGCAGAGATGGAATAAACTGCTCTCTCAAAAGCCTCTGGAGTCTGTCCTCTGTTAGGAAGGGTCATCAGCCCTTTCGAGCTCAAGTCATAGCAGAGATGCCCCTGAAATGATGAGCTGGAATAAAGACAGAGATGGAGGAACCTCTAGGGCCCATATCATAGGCTTGCCCATGCAGAGGGAATTCCAGTGTGCTCGCTGTGTGTAAGTACCTCCCCAAATGGAGTTTGTCACATGAGCAAGTCACCTGTCCACGCAGGTCTTGCATGCTGGTCTGAAGTTACACAGCAAAAGCTTCAGCTGTGGATTGGCAGCACATGACATGCATTCATAGAATCATAGAACCATAGAGCTGGAAGAAACCTCAGAAGGTATCAAGTCCAGCCCCCTGCTCTAGGCAGGACCAATCCCAACTAAATCAACCCAGCCAGGGCTTTGTCTCACCAAGACTGAAACACTTTCAGGGATGGAGACTCTACCACTTCCCTAGGTAACCCATCCCAGTGCTTCACTACCCTCCTAGTGAAATAGTTTTTCCTAATATCCAACCTGGACCTCTCCCACCACAACTTGAGACCATTGCTCCTTGTTCTGCATCTGTCACCACTGAGAACAGCCTCTCTCCATCCTCTTTGGAACCTCCCTTCAGGAAGATGAAGGCTGCTATCAAATCTCCCCTCACTCTTCTCTTCTGCAGACTAAACAAGCCCAAATCCCTCAGCCTCTCCTCATAGATCATGTGCTCCAGCCCCCTAATCATTTTGGTTGCCCTCCGCTGGACCCTCTCCAATGTGTCCACAACCTTTCTGTAGTGGTGGGTCCAGAACTGGACACAACACTCCAGATGTGGCCTCACCAGAGCCGAATAAAGGGGAATAATGACATCTCTGGATCTGCTGGCAATGCTCCTCGTAATGCAAGTACTGCACTGTCAGTCAAGTACTGCTATTCATTGGACTAGTGACTCTGTCACAATAGGTGGGTGAAACCTGTTGTTAATCTTCCAGAAGCAAACGTGAAATACAAGTATGGAGCCAACACTCATAACGTCCAGTTCAAAATGATACACATCTGCGAGTGCAAACATTCTTCTGAAGACAAAAGTGGAATTGGTTATCGAATTCATGGTCCAGTTTTGTCAGTGCTGCGGTCAGACGATTTAAAAACCCGTACATTTCATGATTTCAGATATTTTCATTTGAAATTTCACGGTGGTGGAATTGCAGGGGTCCCAACCAAAAAAGGAATTGTGCGGGGTGGAGAGATGCTGGAGGAGTTGTGCCATTGCTTCCATTCTGTGCTGTGTTCAGAGCAGGGCGCCTGGCCAAGAGCCCTCACTTTGTGTTCATCTTGCTCTGAAGACGCGCAGACCTCTAAGGGCCAGATGGAGGTCTTCCAACGGACGAGTGTTTGGAACTGGAGGAAAGGGGAAAGCAGAGGCGCTTTGAGCTTGAGAAAGCTGAGAAGCTGGGCGCTCCAGCCGTGCTCCACCTAATGCTCCCCAACCCAAGAAGCACCCGGTGTTCAAGGTAGGAGATGATGCGGAGGCCGCCTTAGTGAATTTGGAAAGGGCCTGTCTTGGGTACAGCATCCCCAAAGAGCAGTACGTGATGGAGCTGAGACTACAACTCAGTGGCCTTTTAGCAGAATTGGCAGCTGACATGCCTGAGGAAAACATGAATGATTGTAACAAAATACAGGACTATGTAGCACTTTAAAGACTAACAAGATGGTTTATTAGATGATGAGCTTTCGTGGGCCAGACCCGAGGAAGTGGGTCTGGCCCACGAAAGCTCATCATCTAATAAACCATCTTGTTAGTCTTTAAAGTGCTACATAGTCCTGTATTTTGTTTCAGCTACACCAGACTAACACGGCTACATTTCTATCGCTATTATGCATGATTGTGAGCTTTTTAAGCAAGCGGCCAGAACTTGGATGTGGCTCACCACCGAGCATGCCTGTTGCTGTTTCAGAGCCCTAAGGTGGAAACCAGACGTGGCATGGCCCCAGTATGCCTGCATGTTAAAAAAAAAATGGGATGCAGGGATATCAGGAGCAGGTGTTCAGACTATGGAAGAGCCAGCTCTCCTGGTGAAAATGAAACACTTCCTCGAGGCCCTACCTATAGAGCTCCAATGACACACCCACGCTGGGAAACCTAAAACCATAACAGAGGCAGGGAAATTTGGAGCCAGGTGACGGAGGGGAACAAAACTCACAGATGTTCAAGGAAGAACCAGAGGGAGCACCCAGGGAGTACCACCACTGGGGACAGACCAAGGGCCTACCGGGCAGGGAGAGGAGCCCTCTCCACCCCAAGGGAAGCCAGACAGCCCCTTCCTCTAGCAATCCATCTCAATACCGTGACGAGGCACCTGGGCGACGTTTTACATGTCATGAGCTGGGGCCCGTGACAGCCAAGTGCCCCTAGAGCTGCACCGCGGTGCTGTTCATTGCACTGGGGTCACACCGAGAGTCCTGAGGCCCAGCTGCCTCTTGGACACCTGAAGAGAGAAGGGAAACAGTGTGGGCGGGAAGAAGGTTACTGCACAGACACACACTGGAGCACAGGTGTCCGTGATCTGCCAGTCCCTAGTGGATCCCACACTTGTCGTCCCTTCAACCCTTCAAGGCAGACTCTTTTGACCTGTCCCCAGCCAAGTTGCGCATTACAAGGGCTGGTCGGGAGTTTGGACTTTTGCAGTCTGTGATGATTATCCCATTCCTGTGCTGGTGGGAGAGGACTTAGCCAAACATGTGAGATAGTCTAAGACGGGGGGAATGGTCAGATCAACAGTTGCACCCTGTTGTGTTCTTCAGTAGAAAAAACTCTCTGTGAGGGAAAACTCTCCTTTGAGAAGGAATGCCATGCCATTGTATATGCTCTGGAGAAGCTTCGGCCAGCTATTTGTGGATGCCGCTTTCATCTGCAGACCATCCTTACTGCTCTGAAGTGGCTTCACAGACAAAGCGACTAACAGGAAACTCCTTTGGTGGAGTTTGGCTTCCCAAGACTTCGACTTTGACATACAACACAGCTCAGGGCTCCTAATGAAGGGGCTGATGTACTTGCCTGGGAAAGTTTCCCAGACTAAGCCCATTAAAACTCTCCCTGTACCTCAGCCATTGTATTCCATGCACGCAGGGCATCTTGTTTAGTTCTTTGTGTATTCAGTAGTGAATTTAGTGCGTGCAGGTACATTATGATGTTTTCTCCTAAACCTCCAGAAGAAAATCACTCAGTGTGAACCAGCCTCTCGAGCACTGTCTGTGATTTGGGAGGTGTGTGATGAGTAGGAGGAGCGCTGGCCTTTTTTGAACATCCAGCATTTAATAACCAAAGGGTTGAATCCAGGTAGCTAGACAGTGGTGGCAGGAAGCCAGGAGAACCAATAAGAAGAAAGTATTGAAAATGGAATTGGAAGGGCTATTGGCCTGCTGATTTTCTCTGCATGAGTTTTAAGCCACTCAAAATTCACACAAATTCCAGCATGAATAAGATGTATGGAGGACTAAGATGAATGGAGCCAGGCAGAACTGCCATGCCTGCAAACCATACGGGGCATGGGAATGGACTGGACCTTGAAGTGTACGGGTAGGTGAGAAGGTAGGAAATGTCTGTTTAGACATGATCAGGCTGTTTTCTGTGTTTTGTTATTTGGATAAACTTTTCTGTGCTAAAGTCCATGTTCCCGTCTCTCTACTCTGTAACCTTAAGTTGAGTCCGAGTGATGAATTTCTTGGTGTTCTTTAATTTATTCTTTTCTCGGTTGTGTTAAAACACCTAACAACCAAGTATGCTTTATCAAGTGTATCTTTTTGTTTTGTTATTAAAATTGCCTTTTTTTAAGGTGATGATTTGATTCTTGTGTCCTGAAAGGCAATAGGAGATCTGTGTATGCATGCCTCAGACTGAGAGGTGAGAC